AGTCGTGTGTTTTAAAAACACGCATCCATTGTAGCTTAAGTTGATGCCGTCAGATGCTACCAGGAATTCCGTCAACCCAAATTTAGATAAATTCAAACGTCATTTTGGAGAGTGATGGATGGAGAGTAGTGTTTGTAAGTTCAGCGACCATTCAACAGCAACCAAAGTATAGTGATTATAACGTGACATTATACTAAATTCAGTGATTGATGAAACTTTTTATTCCAATAATTCTCTACAACTTCTGACACTTTGTCTTGCTATTTTGGGAGAAGCAAGAAGAATTGTAAAAATTCTTATGAAAATTTGCATCGAAATAGAAAAATTACCGAAAACCACATTTTTGGAATAAAATCTCACAAAATTTGGCATTTGGAGTGGATAATAATCTCCATCCATTGTGATTAAGATTGAAACCATACGAGTAATGTTCTAAAATGGGTAATGTGTAACAATACGTTTCGATCTAGCAAATGCGTAATTCTGTGTTTTGAATTTTTAATATTACTTTAAATATTTTAAACTAATAAATAAATAGAATAATACATTCTTTGAACTACACACACACAACTATCGACATGTCAAATTTGTGCTTACTAGCATCACATGTTAATAAAATTAGAGGAAGACCGAAGAAAGTGGCTTGGGCTCAGCATAGAAAGTTTGTAAATCTAAGAAAAATTTATTTTTATTTTTTATTTTTAAAAACGTCAAAACCCTACAGATTGTTGTATATAGTTCATGGACTTCAGTGATTTAAGCCAATTTGATGTTTATTGGACTCAATTTGCTTCTTTTTTTTTTGTGAAAATTACATTAGACCAGATTGTTAAAGATTGTAATTAAAAAACCAAATATCTAAAGTTTTCTTATTCATAAATTAGATAATAATTCAAATATAAATATTAATAATAATAATAATATAAAATCTATCCACCCCACTCTACGCTGCCCCTGTCTCCTCTCTCACACACACACACACACATGGACGGCACCGGAGACATGGGTGACACCAACTGCCGCTATAACGTCGTGCTTCGTGCAGAATGGGCTATGGACGACACCAATTGCTGCCAAGTTCCAGGGCTATGCTAGAGATAGAGACGCGAATGGCAACAACGATTAGCAACAGATTGCTGATGTCATATCACCATATTGCCGCGGGCTTGTGGGCTTAGTACCAGTCCATGACACCACCCCCACCAGGATGTTACATGAAGTATCTACATTGTTGCCCATGTGGTTTTGTGGTATTTTTTAGGTGATTCTGTGGTGGCGATGGCGAGGCTGTGGTGTTGTTCTGGTTTGGTGGTTGATATGGCGGTGGCAGTGGTGGTTTTGTAGTAAAAAATGGTGATTTTGTGGTGGTGATGGCGGGGCTACGACGACGTTCTGGTTTGGTGGTAGATTTAGCGATGTCAGTGGTAGTTTTGTAGTTGAAAATGGTGATTTTATGGTGGAGATGGCGGGCTGTGGTGACGTTCTGGTTTGGTGGTAGATTTAGAGGTAGCGGTGGTGATTTTGTAGTTGAAAATGGTGATTTTGTGGTAGCGATGGCGGAGCTGTCGCAACTTTCTAGTTTGGTGGTGGATCGACTATGGTAGTGGTGGTTTTGTAGTTGAAAATGATGATTTATTGGTGGTTGCGAAGGTGGGGGCGTTGGTGGTTTTGAAGTTGAGAATTGTGGTTTATTGGAGGTGACGGTGGTAGTGATACGGTGGCGCCACTAGATGTGGTGACTGTGACTAAGTTCCTGTTTGAGTCACATTAAAATTTTCATTCTCATTTTTTTACTCATTTTCAACCACACATTTTTCAATAAAATAATATTTTCCATCACATCTAAATTTTCCTTCTTTTTCAACCACACATTCTCCATTAATCTAGTATTCCAAAATACATTCTTCCAAAATAACGTGGCTCAAACACACCCTAATTATTTGAGACCATGACCAATAAATAGGATATTTTGTGACCAATAAATAATATGTGATCGATAACTTGTGATCAATAAATAATATGTGATCTAAAAATTTGAACTGTAACTTATAAAATTTGTGATTTGTGACCTATAATTTTTTTTATTTGTGAACGAGTAATAATTTGTAACCAATTATTTCCCTAATTTGTAACAAAATTGTATAGANTGACCTATAATTTTTTTTATTTGTGAACGAGAAATAATTTGTAACCAATTATTTCCCTAATTTGTAACAAAATTGTATAGAATTGTAACATTAATATATTTAATTAATTATTTCATAAATAAAATTTAATAGTATCCGATTTTTGAAGTTTTAAACCTTATTTCTTAGTTTTGAAATTGGTCATAGTTAAACTCTAAAATTTGAAGTTTTCCCCTTTTTAAGTTATAAAAATGGGTTGCACTTTTCTAGACTAAGTTTGACATATTTTTTAACACAAATATTTGAGCATCTTGGCATTTAAGCATACATATGGGTTCAACGAAATGTGGTGACCGCATCATATGCGCATACCCCATATGCGAGGCATTTCGAAAATATATCGAGCATATGCATATACACACGTTTTATAACAATGCATAAGTGTGTAAGAAAATGCTGATTTTGAAACAACATGATGAAGATCTTAAAAATTTTCATCTCTTTAAGAAATAATTCTTGAACTAAATTTATATTCAAACATGATGTAAATTCCTTCGGTGCCTACTAAGGAAGATTGAGTTTCAAACTCATAATTTCCAGCAACTCCCAATAATTCTGTACAACTTCTGACACTTTGTCTTGCAATTTTGGGGAAAGCAAGAAAGAAGGTAAAAATTCGTACGAAAATTTACACCAAAATAGGAAAAGTGCCTAAAATCACATTTTTTTTACATGAAATCTCATAAAATTTGGCACTTAAATTGTGGATAATATTATCCTCCATTGTGATTAAGATTGGGACTATGTGAGTACAAAAAAATGTTGATTTTAGAGCTTGAAAAAGTAATGTCATTCAACCGCAAACAGATTTTGAAATTTAAAATAACTTCTTGAACCGAATTCATGTTCAAACATGCTCTACCTATCAAGAAAGATTGAGTTTCACATATGGTGCATTGTTTCTACTTTCTTCTTTGGGCAAATGTATATTAGTTGAGCCAATAATTAGCTCTGTCACCTCGCCCCGATTGAGGAAGTTTCAGTTCTGTTCTTGCTCAATATTTTTACTTTTCAAATTCTCTCCTACTGAAATAAGTTGAGAAATGAAAAAGTATTGAAAAATGTGGAGCTCCTTTGAGTTTGGGCATTTTTGCGTCGGCTTAGGTGGAGGCAGCGAATTCTCCATCCCTTAAAAGAAAACGAAAAAGCTGAATATCTGCCGCATCTGGACTGTCTATTGACCAAAAGAATATCATTCAATGTGAATTCCCTCTTTTCTTTTCTTTTTCCTTTTTTAAATAATCTGAAATCTATTAAATTATATTTAAGAATATTCTTATGCGTGGATGATTGATTTTTGCACACGTAACCCATAAACAGAAATCATGTAGAATTACGTAAAGTACTTGACAATGTTCCTCTCACAATTATACAGATTCTTTATAAGTGCTACGTCGGTAGCACTTGATTGGTAATTATTTTTTCTTTTTTGCCAACTACCAATCAAATCTCGACGGGTGTACATTTATAAGAATTCTTACAAAAATCATGTACGTATAGCTTATCTGTTATATAAAACGTTAGGAATGCAGTCAAAAAATCTCTTTAGGTTAAAATTAACCACAACACAGTTGATGATCGTAGTTGCCCACCTCTCTATAGGCATCTTAACTCGAACTCAATTTACAAAACAAAAATATTAAGACCCTGTTTGGGAGGGATTTCAATTTTTTTACAGTAATTCAATTCTCATTTTCAACCACACATTTTTCAATAAAATAATATTTTCCATCACATCAATAATTTTTTCTTCCTTTTCTACCACACATAATTAATTCTCATTTTTAAACACACATTCTTCAATAAAATAATATTTTCCATCACATCAATAATTTTTTCTTCTTTTTCAACCACACATTTCCCATCATATCACTATTCAAAATCAATTCTTCCCCCAAAAATCCCTCTCAAACAAGTTCTAAGCGGTTTTATTCATGCTTGGCCTTGGGCTAAGTCAGTATTTTCACTGGCGTCCCGTGACATTTTTTCTAATGAAAAATGTCATTTTTAATCAAAATTTCTACTTTTAAAGTGTTTGATTGACATTTTTTCATAGAAAGTATTTTTAAAGAGTTATGTTAGATGTACACAATGAGTTACACAATGGATTACACCTCCTTCACATGGAGGGGGGCCCATACACAATAAAATATTTGTGAGTCCCCTCCATGTGAGAGAGGTGTAATCCATTATGTAAACCATCGGGTGCACATCTAGTATAATTCATTTTTAAAAGTTGGCCGTGAACTAGTATATTTTTAAAAAATAAGGAAAACATTTTCTTTATCGAATGGTAAATTTTTATTTTTTAAATAATTCACACTTCTAAAAACATAACTTTATGTAAAAGTATAGCATTTTCTATGTTAAAAATTAAGTCAATCAAATACATTTAATTGACAATTTTCATGAAAATAAGTTCTAAACAATTTAATTATTTAGATCTTATTTTCTTTCCATGTAAGTTATATGTTTGCAATCAAACACATGCTTAATGTTGAAAATGTAAAGTATTTAATTGTTCGTTGAGTAAAAATGAAATTCAAACTTTTGTGCATTAAAATAATTAGAAGTGATTTTTATTTTTATTTTTTTGGAAAAAATGAAAACAATAATTAGGAGTGGAACTAGCAATATCAGGACTGTCATTATCATTTTCCCCCTCACTACACAATCAGTTGAAGCTTTCATTTTTTTGCATTCCAAGATCGATCAAATCGTGATCATCCCTGGAATTTGCTCTCTCTATCAAGAAAATCAATCCCCAAATACAGAAAAGGAATTTTTTTTAAAGCTATTCATTAACCGACAGTAATGGAGAATTCTGGTCAGTGTTACCGATTTTTGGTTTGGTTTGTACTTTTCTTTCCTGCCTGTTTGATTTTATTCGCACTGTAGCTTTTGTGTTAAAAAAATTCATTTGCGTGCGAAATATTAACCTCTTTTTACCTTCAAGGTTAACTAGTTATATTTTTTGAAGTACTTCTTATTTAGGGTTTATTGCTATTGCCGAGTGATTGTGTGTTTTCTGGCGAGCTTTTAGTTGTTGGGACTTTAGTTTATCAATGTGAGAAATTTTACTGAGTATTGATCAATTAAGGTAAAAGGAAAATTGTTTCTTAACGTTGTTCATGTGATTGGCTAAAGGCTCAGCTTTTGTAACTTCTGTTTGGAAACGATTAATGTTGGTGTGAATGTTTTCCAGCATTTATACATGTACATTATGTTATTTTTGGTTTAATAGTAAAGCACATATTATGTTTGTCAGTTTATTTTCATCATTTGTGTGCTTAGATAACTTATGTTTTGAGATGGTCTAATGAGAGGTTAGTGGATGCCATTTTCCTGGATATATGCACATACATTATACATCTAGTACACGTGTATTTGGAATTCTCTGTTTAATAGTAAAGCACATGTTAATTTAAAACGCTTGTTATGGCATTTGTTTATTTTTCTGGAAGTGAGCTAAATTTGTTAGCTGGATTGTTTCCTTGGGTGGCCATTTCTTGTGCTAATAGCTAACTTGTGCTTATGATTTTGTGCAGGAAATCACCAGGATGTGATAGTTCCTCCAGTAGAAGGTGTTGCTGGAGGCGGGACAGCATATGGATGGAGTGAAAGTGTGGCACGTGATCCTACTTTACTGAAAGGGTCGATTGATCCTACGAAAGTTCATTCTTCAGAATTAGTACACGTGTGGTGCATGCCGAGCACGGCTAATGTTGGACCACAAGATATGCCACGAGCATTGGAGCCAGTAAGTTTGTTCAAATTAGGTTTGTGTACTAATAATATATCAAGTTAATCTTGTACTAATAATATATCAAGATAATCTTCTTCTAAATTTGATATTATTCTTGTTATGGTTACAGCCTGAGTATGCTTGTGTGATCTATATGTTAAGGCGTTGTCAGAATCTCGTTGGAATTTGTCTTACACCCACAATTCATTTTTTATTTTTCTATTCTCCCCTTTGGAAACATACATACATTAGCTTGTGTACCCTATTTTTATTCTGGTTATTTCCTTATTTCCATGTCCATGTCCATTTCCCTGTTTACGTATATAGTTGAGACAACCGATAATTTGAAACTTGTTGGTGGCTGCTTTTTGGTTTGTTACCATCAGAATTTCAGGGATTATCCATGAAAATTTGTTATAATGCATCTAGTTTTCATAGTTCCCTTGCCACCTAACACGGTTTACCTTGAAGATATCTCTCTTGGCAGCTAGAAATGAGAGGGAAAGTGTCCAAATAGCTATACGTCCAAAAGTTTCTTGGGCTGGATCGGGTATTGCTGGGACTGTACAGGTCCAATGTACTGATCTGTGCTCCATTTCTGGGGATAGGTTTGTCTCTTGGACATGCAAAATTTCTGTTCTTTTATAATTTGTATGTAAATTAATGTTGCCAATGATCCAGATTGGTGGTTGGTGAGTCATTGCGAATGAGGCGAGTAGTGCCTGTTTTAGGTGTTCCTGACGCTCTTGTGCCCCTAGCAATGCCACTCACTCAACTAAACCTTTTTCCCGGGTATGGATATCTTTCACCTTAAATTAGACAGTGTTCAGATTACTATATTTAGAAAAATTTATGACAAATAATTTTTGCAGAGAAACAACTGCAATTTGGGTTTCAATTGATGTTCCAAATTCACAGCCCCCAGGTCAATACGAAGGAGAACTCATAATCACTGCTACCAGAGATGTCGCAGAGTAATAGTCTTTCCTCTTTACTTCAGTTAATTATTAGTTTTGATATGCTAGAGTTTTACATTCCGTAGTTACTTCTTAGTTTTCTGATGTCAACAGCAGATGCTTCAAACCATGCATTTGGATATCTAAGCACATTGTTTTCCACATTTTTTCATTCTAACTACTCATTACAGATCTACAACACAGTTCCTCAGTAAATCTGAGAGGCATCAACTGTACAGAGAATTAAAGAATTGTCTTGATGTTGTCGAGCCCATTGATGGAAAATCCCCGGATGAATTGGTGGGTTCTTTGGTCACTAATGTCATCAATTAAAGCTTTTGTATTTAAACCTAGTATATGTCTACTCATGTATTTCTGGTTTTTTAGGTAGAAAAAGTGAAATCTGCAACCTCATCTTTGAGAAGAGTTCTTCTATCTCCACCATTTTCTGATTTGTTTTCAGATAATGGGCTGGTGGATATGATGGATGAGGATGCTATTACAAATTATTCAATACGACTGAAGCTAACTTTGACAGTCTGGGATTTTGTTCTTCCGGCGACACCTTCCCTTCCAGCTGTTATTGGTGTATCCTGCTTTTTTTATCCTGAGATCTAGGATTTTTTTTTTTAAAATATGCACATGAACATTGGTGCTAGTATGTTGGAATTGATTGCTATATTCACCCTAAACCATGATATGTCTGTTAGAAAGAATTTGGAGTCTAGTTATTTCCATATATATGTTGTCAATCATGCAGAATCTGTTGAAAAGGTTTATTAGAAATTTTAATAGGCTTGAGCGAGAGCCTAATACTTCCTTACTGAATTGTATTTTTCTCCAACTATGTTCAGAAAATGGCAAAAAACCAGATCACGTGACTTTCGTGTTGTTTTCTAAATCTGAATTTGATAACTTCTCTGTTTCAGCCTTTCATGCCTACCCATCTTTTTCCTTTTCTGTATTCTCATTTACAGTGACCACCTGTTAATGTTTTAGACCCACAATAACTGTTACATCTGCTAATGTCGAAAACCAGCATTAAGTGAAATATTGCAATTGCTGGAATACAAGTATACCAAATCCATTCATTTATTTTGTTTATTTGGGTGTTGATTTATATGCAGACGGACCAGAACTATTACCTTTAACATAAAGCAGAGTGAAAGATTCATGAGCATGGTCTCCCTTAAATTTACTCAGATATCTGATACGGTTATTGAAGACCGTTTTGGTGTTAAACATGGAAGCAGTGAGTGGTATGAGGCACTGGATCAGCATTTCAAGTGGCTGCTTCAATATAAAATCAGCCCGTACTTCTGCAGGTGGGGTGAGAATATGCGTGTTCTGACTTACACTTGTCCATGGCCAGGTAATAGAATGAAGGAGGCCTACATGCTAATAGATTTTCAGGTCATGTACTACATTTAGATGTATTGGAAAATGACGTGCATATTTGAGTATCTGCACTTGTTGAACCTCAAATATTTTATATGCTAAGCATGTACATTTCCCTAGAAGTGACCCTTCTATGTTGGTGCAGCTGATCATCCAAAGTCAGATGAGTATTTTTCTGATCCTCGGCTTGCAGCATATGCTGTACCATATAGTCCAGTAGTCTCCTGGTATGCAGACAGTTGCCTTATCTATTTCTAATTTTTGTGTTTTTGTATGTACTTTGATGAGCATTTGCCTCTTGATGTGCAGCGGTGATACGGCAAAGGACTATCTGCAACGAGAGGTTGAGATATTAAGAACAAAAAATCACTGGAGAAAAGCCTACTTCTATTTGTGGGATGAGGTGGGTACTCGTAATTTCAAGATGCGAGCATGTGTGATTTCCCTATCTTCTATAAGGGTTATTTGAGATTCTGGTGTGATGACTTCATTCTGGCTAGTTTCTATTTACAATCTCATATAAGATTTATCCCTTGTTTGATTTTGATTTTTTGAGCTTAAGGAAAAGAGGTTTTGAAAAAATAAAAATAAAAAAGGGCTTAGTTTTCTTTTTGATCAATTTACTTGTAGTGTGTGTGTATAACAAGAAGAGAAGGAAAAGGAAAGGATTAGATGATGTAGGAAGGAAAGTGAAGAGAATGAGATGGAGGGATAGCGGCCATCTGATTTCTCTTGTTTGGATAGCTGAAGGAGAAGAAGGAAAGGGACTGAGTGACAGTCTTCGTATCTATTAATTATAAAACATGACAAGTAGTCAGGAAAAGTATTACATGAGGAAGCAAGAAAGATATTGAAATTTAACATATTTTTGTCATGCTCTTTCCCATCTTCCTCTTGCTTCCTTATTATATAGACAAATGTGTTATGAGTACCAATCCTCCTTCCATTTCAATCCCCTCTAATTCTTGCAATGCAAGCATAATGTTTAGTCCTGGTTCGGGATAAAATTTTAGTTCTCTGCATTTAATTAGGTTTCTCCTTTCATACACAGCTAACGCCAACTTTATTTCTATCAATTTTTTGTTGTTCTTTTTCTTTTGATGTGATTCTGCTGCTTTTGTCCAGCCACTAAATGTTGAACATTATCATCGTATTCGAGACATGGCGAGTGACATTCACGCTTATGCACCTGATGCTCGTATCATGACTACTTACTATTGTGGTGATTCACTAATTGCCTTTTCAATTCTTATAATTTGTTTGATTTGCATCTCTTTTCAATCTGCTTTTATTTGCATGACTTATCTATTCTGAAACCGAGTTCTGAGAAATTGGATGAGAAAATATATTCGCACAGAAACTCGCATTGTTAGTATTTCTTTGAACTGGAAAATACTAAATAAACAAGATCTTCTAGTCTGAGTACATGATTTTTAATGCTTTCATTGATAGTTGATTGCATTATTTGGTATTAATGTTTCTACTTTGGGCTTTTTGGTTAAAAACATAATAATTCTTTAAATTTGTGAGAAAATAAATATGAAGTTCGGGTACTTTCCGCTTCTTTTTAATTCCCAAACATGTAATTATCTGCTACCCAAGTTTATTACGGTTTTACTGTGGCAGTTCAAGCACAGTAGATTACCCATGTATTGACATTATCGTTTAATTCAATGGCAATGAAATGAGACATCAGAGCTTTATTGTGAACTGCAGTAATAACAATGTAAGTAAAATCTAGAGCCCAGCATGATATCAAGTTAGCAGCTTTTGTTTTGTTATCTGGTTGATCCTATTTTTTCAATTACTTATATGATTACCCGATACTCAGGTATGATATCATGTAAGAGGTGTCCTCAGATGCTCTTTAACTCTATGCAGGACCAAATGATTCTCCCCTGGCTCCCAATAATTTTGAGGCTTTTCTTAAAGTTCCAGAGTTTCTTCGTCCCCATACTCAAATATATTGCACAAGGTATTAATCTTAACTGATCCTTTGTGATACTTTGGTTATTGTGTTAATGCATACGCTGTTCGATCTAAGTGCATTCAATGAAGTTTCTGAGCATCTTTTACTAGTATAATGTGTGTTATTTCACTCCTATATTTTCTAAATGCTAAACTCCCATCATGATGTGTACAGTTTTTGAGAGGTGAAAAGATAATTTGAGTTTGCTGCTTATGGATTATGGAGATTTCTTTTGCTCCTTTTGCAAACATCCATTATCTATTCGTTATGTTATTCTCATTGCAGCCCCGGGAGACGAGGCAATATTGATAGTGTGATTCAACCTCCCTAGGAATTAAATTACCTTGTTTAGGAAAATAGGGAGGTTCAACCTACAGTTGGCCTAAATTTTACTTCCTTCCAAAGTAAAAGATATAAACTTTAATGGCTTATTGAAGTTCTTTCACATATATGATTCAGTGAAAAAGCAACCTTTGCTTAGTTTATAGATACAGCAGTGAAACAATAAAGTGGGAAGATTATTGTAAGTCACTATTGAAGTAATCCTGTTGTGGCGCAAATGAACTTCTTTAGGTATTTAGGTTCGGCTATGAGTAAGGTGGGGATGTTAAAGATGGACGTGTGGCCATATTATTATAAATTAGAAAAGAAATGATAATGTATGCCTACAAGTGGGGGGACATCCATTGAGGATAAATTACAGCAAGAAAAGCGTAGGTGGTTGGACATGTTTTGCATAGACCGAATGAAGCTCCTGTTGATAAGATGGATATGATTCTGGTAGATCTCATTAAAAGAGGGAGGTGTAGACCGAAATTAACATGGCCTGCTTTGGTAGAGAAGCATTTGATTGCATTAGGTCTACAAGACCGAGGTGGAAATGGGTTCATGTAGTTGATGACAACTATATTGATCAGAAGGGTTAGTTTGTTCATGTTGTTTAGAGAAAATGAAGGAAAGAAGCTTCTTTTCCTATCTAGGAGCATTCTATCGCTCCTTTTCTCAAACCTCCATGCTTTCTTCCTCTGTCATTGTGGTCTTACACTGTGTCTAAGATAGTATAAATTTATATAAAAAGATGTGGAAGACTAAAACTCACATGTTTTCAGATTCAGTTTTTATGTACCCTTCATGCTACACCTTGTAAAAAGGGAAAAGAATTTCACATAATGAGATGTGTCTGTAGAAGTATTCTTCTCTTTGGTTTAGGCACGTAGGAAAGAAAAACTTCCTTTTTATAATGTATGTTGGAATGGATTATAATTTTTGGCAAAAGGTTCCATCTGTTCCTTCCTCCCCCTGCTCTACGTGCACTGTGCATGAAGTATGAATTCAACCGTCTATTTTTCTCTTCTCCCAGTAAGGGCTCACGATCAAATGAAAAGTGTGACTCTATACAAAAGTGATGCAGTAGTCTTTGAAGTGGTTTAAGATCTCATCCATTAATATTAAATGATGACATGAATCTTGCATTATTATTCCAACTAATGTGATGCAGAAAAAAGTAGGTTTTCAGCAGATAAGTCTTCTTCTTTATGGTTGATGACTAGATTCTTTCTTTCTTTACTTGAAAAAAGTTGACATGTCTTCAATATCTGTTGCTAGTAGAAGCTTACAGTGTTGTTTCTCCATGCAGTGAATGGGTGATTGGTAACCGTGAAGATCTGGCGAAGGATATCATTGCAGAAATACAACCTGAAAATGGTGAGGTAACGTTTTCATGAGCACGTGTCCTTGATATGGAGAAAGCGATATCTGGAAGAATTTTTAGTGATTTGCCATCAGATATGCTTAGACACTGTATTCGGATTACATGAGTTAGTATACTTGGTGATTGAGGTCATATTTTCTGTCCGCTGTTTCGTGGTGGGGGTAGAGAGGAGGTGGAAATTCTTTTTTTTTCAAAGATATTTATTTATTTTGAAATGGAAGCGTTGGGATTTGGTGAGGAAATAAGTGAAGTTAGCGAATCACGCTGTTTATTTTTGTAATATATCATACAATGTGATACAGAAGATGATATAGTAAATATATGGCATAAAAACAAAATGATAACAGTAGCTATTTAAACTTTCTTCTCTGCGGAATATTGAGAATGATGGAAACTATTCAATGCTTTACAAAAAACACAGAGGATGAAATAGGCATCACAGGCTTGAGTCTAGTTGAGAATTAAACCATCACTTCTAGGCCAAATGTGAACTTTTTAGTTTTATCCTTCTCGTATTTGATATTTCAAGAAACTTTTCATACTGTATTGAGTATTCGAATGGAGTACATACAACAAAAGTGGAGGTACTTTATAAAGTTTCTATGCCATGTTTCCAAGTGGGGTTATATAAATCATGACTTGACCTATTATATGGGCCAGTAAAAAATATTGACCCTGGCCTTAGGTGGCTTTGTTCTTCCCATTGTATCGTCCTGACTTGTATGCTTCTCACAGGAGTGGTGGACATATGTGTGCATGGGACCATCTGATCCACATCCTAACTGGCACCTAGGGATGCGAGGCACACAACACCGTGCAGTAATGTGGCGTGTATGGAAAGAAGGTGGAACCGGCTTTCTGTATTGGGGTGCCAATTGCTATGAGAAAGCTATGGCTCCTAGTGCTGAGGTCATTACATGCCACTTACATTAAATTTATAATTTGATCAGTACTTGTCACTGACATTTCTAACATTTATACACATTTTTCCAGATTAAGTTCAGGCGTGGCCTCCCTCCGGGTGACGGGGTCTTGTATTACCCTGGCCAGGTGTTCTCTTCTTCTCAGGAACCTGTTGCTTCTTTACGACTAGAACGTCTTTTAAGTGGCTTGCAGGTAATATTTCGAATTCGATTATTTTTGTCCATGTCTTAATTGTAACATTCTATTCGCTAAGCTGCGTCGTATTTTTATTTATGTCTCCAGTCATGATGGTTTGAAATTCCTTATTGAATGTTTAAGGCTCCCAATGCAGGTCTTTCTCCTTAGGGTTTTTAACTTATTATAGGAGTTCTTTACAAATGTAATATTATTGGTGTATTTTATTTGATCTGGAAGCACTTGATATATTTGTAGCAGCTGTCATGTAGAACGAAACATTTGTGCACCCTTAGACATGCCTTTCCTGGTAGTGCATTTGTGCACGATCCCTTCGACCGACTTTATGTTTCCATACAATAGTTTTACAAATTTATTTATGGGATGTCACTTGGGGAGTTGTGTTAGATATTTTACAAATTGCTGGTATAAAGACATTCTCTCTGATTCTAAATTTTAGTGGGAGTGGGAGCTTCTGAATGATGTTACCATACACCATAATTGCTCTCTAATTATGTTTCTACTACTATGCTCTTGTGGCGCTTTTAGGACATCGAGTATTTCAAGCTGTATGCTTCAAGATTTGGCAGGGGCGAATCACTTCATCTTTTGGAAAAGACGGGCATGTATCATGGTCCTGAGCAGTACACCCACGAACACATGCCAATAGATGTTATGCGAGGTGAAGTTTTCAGGACATGCCGTTCGGAGAATAACATTTGATTTATTGGCATCTGTTCTTACTTCACTTCCACAACATGAGCTTCTACTGTATTCTTCTATTTAGCAACATACTTCAGAGTTCCAAATCAGGCACAGTTTATGTTTTGATCACTTTAGGCCCACAGAAAGCTATAACCTTTTTGTTACATTTTGTTTCTTTCAATTTAATTTATATTTGCCCAAGCATAGGGTGCTTTTGTAGTGCAGTTATTGACTCACCTTGCTCAAAGTTGAAAACAAGTTGGTTTTTGTTAAAGCATGGTTGTGGTGCGTCCTGGAACACGGATACGAGTGGTGCATGGCTTTCGGTTTTATGACATAAGATGTTTCTTGAGACTCGTAAGTACTATTCACTTAATCATCATTCATTTCTATCGATTTAAAATTTAAATCGTTTGTTACTTTCCAATTGAGTGTACAAATTTAGAAGCCTTTCAAGAATTCACTTCTATCTGCTTTAAAATAAGTTAAATAACTATCAGAAAGTCATCGATCATCTATTCTTTATTTTTGCAAGTGTAGAATAACCTTACTCTGTTTTGTTTTACATATTATCACATAATTTTAGGATCTCAACTTTGACTGACCATGCCCAATTACTAGCAAATGAGAGCCATAGGCCTGTTGTAAGGCGTGGCCTTACTATATCTAGTCACACGGTGTTATCATTACAAATGGCAGTAGCCCCACGTCCGTTTATGGTCAAGATTTAGAAAGGAGTGGAAATCACAATATGATCAAATGGTGATGATTAGTCCTAGGTTTTACACTAACGAATCACACTCGGCATATTTATAAGATGAACTATATAACAATTACTCTCTCCATCTCATTTATATAAGTTGACTTTCCTTTTTTTTTTTGTTCCAATTATATAGTCACGTTTCTTTATTGAGAATGTTTTGTTTTGTTCGTTTACTAATATGACATTATTTAATTTATCTGGTTATAACTAATTTACTTCTAGTTGTTGATAATTAAATGAGAGTACATTAGAAAAGTTTTTGGCAAAAATTATTTTTTCAATAACATTAAGTCCCTATTTGGTAGATATTAAAATCAGATTTTAGTAGATTTTGATAAAAGTTGAAGAAATGTGTGGTTGAAAAGTTGTAAGTTTCATGAAATGTGTGGTTAAAATTAATTCTTGATTTTGACTTGAAATTTTAATTGAATTTTAATCAAAATCAAACAGGGGATAAATAAGATGGTGAAGGGAGAATCTTTTTATCTATTTAAAGAAAGGGATTCCACGTTCTTAGAAGGAGCCGTACGAGGCAACTTATGACTTGCTATCTTAGATGAGATGAGAAAGAAACAATTTTTTGGAGCAACTAAATCCAAGAGTCAAATTTTTTCATGTGGGTGTTCGATAAAATCTGAATTGTTTAAAATAAAATTTGGGAAAAATTACACCTAACCTTGTTATTTAAGTTAACATTTCAAAAACCAAAATATGAATTAACTTTTTTCAAAAATCAAGTATCACACCAAATTACCCTACTGGACACCATCCCAACCCTAGAAAATGATGACTAAATGAAGCAAACAAAATCGTGGCTTCTATTGCTACTAAGTGGTGGTGTAGCTTCTGCTAATGCTATATCGCGATACCGCTTCTGTTGCTTCACATTGTCGTCGCCAATGAATTGAATGAGATTATTATTATTGTGGTTCGGTGACTGTGGATTGAGGCGGTGGTGGCATTGGTAGAGTTAGTGGTTGTGGTTGTGGATCTGAAGTGAAGGTGTGGTGGTGGGTGGGAGGTGGAGATGAAGATGATGGCATATATAAGGTGATTGTGGTGGTGGCGGCGGCACTAGCGTTTGAGTGGTGGTGGATGTAGAGGTGGATATGATGCTGGATTTGAGAAGTTGGTGATGGCATTGGTGGTTGGTATGTGTATTATTCGGGTTGGGTTGATTTTGAGATCAAATTGAAATCGAAATTGACTTGGTTGGTTTGGGTAAATTTGAACATTTGTCCAAGTTAAAAAAAATAAAAAATTGCCTACCTATTTTAGGTTAAAAAATTTGTTTGCCTATATATATAATAATAATTTATTTTTTTTGCGTAGTACGTATTAATAATAGATATAATGTAAATGATAAATGGTCGATTTTCCCTAAATCATCAATACATCCGATAGTTACCAACAAACAATAACATCAAAATGAAAAAGCAAGGCTGCAATCTAAATTTAGAGTTTACATAAACAATTATTTTCGTTGCTTTTTTGTTCTTTTGGAATTTGGAGTTTTTGTAGAGAAACGTAGACGGTAAATAAATTATTTTTTTGTTCCAATTATATAGTCACGTTTCTTTATTGAAAATGATTTGTTTTGTCTTGTTTTGTTCGTTTACTAAGATGCCATTATTTAATTTGTCGGGTTATAACTAATTTACTAGTAGTTGTTGATAATTAAATAAGAGTACATTAGAAAAGTTTTTGGCAAAAATTATTTTTCCAATAACATTAAGCCCCTATTTGGTAGATATTAAAATCAGATTTTAGTAGATTTTGATAAAAGTTGATGAAATGTGTGGTTGAAAAGATGTAAGTTTCATGAAATGTATGGTTAAAATTAATTCTTGATTTTGACTTGAAATTTTAATTGAATTTTAATCAAAATCAAACGGGCAAATAAGATGGTGGAGGGAGTATCTTTTTATCTATTTAAAGAAAGGGATTTCACGTTCTTAAAAGGAGATGTACGAGGCAACTTTTGACTTGGTATCTTAGATGAGATGAGAAAGAAACAATTTTTTAGAGCAACTAAATCCAAGAGTTAATTTTTTTCATGTGGGTGTTCGATAAAATCTGAATTGTTGAAAATAAAATTCGGGAAAAATTACACCTAACCTTGTTATTTAAGTTAACATTTCAAAAACCAAAATATAAATAAACCTTTTTCAAAAATCAAGTATCACACCAAATTACCCTACTTGACACCATCCCAACCCTAGAAAATGATGACTAAATGAAGCAAACAAAATCGTCGCTTCTATTGCTACTAAGAGGTGGTGTAGCTTCTGCTGATGCTATATCGCGTCACCGCTTCTGTTGCTTCACATTGTCATCGCCAATGAATTGAATGAGATTATTATTATTGTGGTTAATAATTTATTTTTTTTGCGTAGTACGTATTAATAATAGATATAATGTAAATGATAAATTGTTGATTTTCCCTAAATCATCAATACATCCGATAGTTACCAACAAACAATAACATCAAAATGAAAAAGCAAGGCTATAATCTAAATTTAGAGTTTAAATAAACAATTATTTTCGTTGCTTTTTTGTTCTTTTGGAATTTGGAGTTTTTGTAGAAAAACGTAGACGGTAAATAAATTATTTGAGAAAAAATTATATTTATTTTTTTATTATTTTATTTTTTAAGTTTAAAAATATGAAATTTAAAATATTAATGAGTTGCATCAGTTAATTCACGGGTTGATGGTTTAAACCACAATCAACTCGACCCGACTTTTAAATGGTTAACTTTAACCGAATCAAACTAATTTTTTGGTTCAAACCAACCCAAAACGACCCGACTCTATTCGGTAGTTTGATTGATTCTTCTATTGGTGGTGAGGTGGCAGAGGCATTCCGTTATGCCGATAATGGTAAGAGTAGTGTGGTGGACAAAGAGAATTTGTGATCAATTATTTAGATAGCACTGATCAATAAAATGGATAATTTGTGATCAATAAATAATATGTGACATACAAAAATGCGTGACTTGTGACTAAATTTGTAATTGCAATTCACAATTTTTGTCTCTGTGATTGTGACTGGTATGTAATTGCAGCAATAAATTGTGCGTTAGTATCTTGACTTATCTAATTAATTAATAAGTCACAAAATTGTTATCAAGCAATCGTACAACTTGATTTTTTGAAAATTTTCCACAAATTTCATATATTTGAAAGTATATTTTGAAATCTTTATAAGGTATGTATTTTTCCATAAATTTTGTCCAATGCACTGCTCAGTAAAATCCAATATTCATAAACAAATCTGCTCCTACATCTACATGCCCTTTTAATTGGCTAGACATCTTTGAAGTTTAGATTGTATTCGTCTCTCAATTTGGAAGGAATTGATTAACTTAATAATGGTGTTCATGTACGAATAAAGTTAATTATTGATATTTAACTTAAATAATAAAGGGCATAATATTTGCATATTTTTTTTTCAACAAACCAGAATTTAAATATCATTTTAGGATACGTTTGATATACAACACATGATATAATCAGGGACGGATTTAGGGGGGGCTGTAAATTACTGCATTTATCCCATAAAGATACACTCATTTTTATTTTCATAAATATTAATGGAGTCTACCTTTATGGGATTAATGGAGTAATTTTATATCCCATAAAGATAAATGGAGTAATTTATATCACATCTTTATGGGACGAGGAAAGTACATTTTTACTTATAAATGATTTTTACATAAAGATAATTTTAACTTAATAAGTAACTTTTAAGTGATTTTTCAAGTATTAATAACTATTTTTTTAGCGATAAGTAATTACTCCCACTACCCCATTTATATATGCTGCCTTTTTTTATTTTCCTGTCACATTTATATAGTCTTATTTCTTTATTGGGAAATTATTTATTTTGTTCTCTTAATAATATCCTTATTTAATTTGTCTAATTATAAGAATTTTTTTCATTTAATCTTGAAATTGTATAGATTTTAATTTACGTACTTTTGTCTAATACTCTTTTCAAGTCGAAATGCTATGCAATGGTGTCACAAAGACAAAATAAAATATTATTTAATCATTTATGCAATTGAGAAGGTGAATCTCTCTCTGCGAGATATGACCTTCAAGTTGAAATAAATCATGTTTGGCAAAGCTTAAAATATAACTTTTAAGTGCACATACTTATAAGAAAAGGAAATATTTTTTTATTAGTAAAAGTTATAAATAAATTTAACTTTTAGTTTGGCCAATTTCTAATTCAAATAGGGCAATACAGACTTGTTATGCACAAGTTTGAAACTAGAAAACCATTTTTAATATTTGATTTCAAATTAAGGAATAAAAATAGTTAATTCGTTATTAGTACATTAAAAAAAAATTATGTTTCAAATAATATGAAGAAGTCAGACTATTGTCTGAGTGGCAATTTTGTTTCTAATCTATTGCTCGATTAGCAAATTCATTTTTTTTTTTATCTTTAAAAGGAATGAAATTAATTCTTAACATTTCATTATAGTTGCACAATAAGCCTTCGACAACGAAAATCATTCAAATATCCCTTAAGTTTTCCCGTAAGAGTGGCAAACGGGTCAAACTGATGTGGACTCGAGGCTTTGGTCAATCCATGGACAGCTCAAACTCATTTTGAGACGAGCCATGTATCGAATCAAATACACATTACTTTCACGAGCAAGCTCGTAGCTCGTGGGCCAAACTGGACTCACATGTCCAATCTCATGAAATTGTGTATATAAGTTAGCTAGAAGGAAAATATATTGTCCAATAATTGCAGTGAAATCAAGATGGTTAAGGTAAACAGAGTTATTTTTCTTGTGCTTGTGGCATTAATGTTCATTGCAACAGTTAATGGCGACACTACCTCAACCATCTGCAAGGTAAAAGTTTCTGAGATAGCCAAATGTCTTCCGGCAATAACCGGAAAATCACCTTCAAAACCGACTAAAAGTTGCTGCGCTGCAACTCGCAAAGCCGACTTGCACTGCCTGTACAACTACATGTCTGAATTTGCCAAGTTTGGGGATCCTGCAAAGGCTATGGCTTTGCCTAAACAATGTGACCTTAAGCCTCCAAGAGAATGTAACAAGAAACTTTTCTAGCCGTCGATCTAGGGTCATGTCTTGATCAGTTGTTAGATGTTGCACTCCGTGTTTTCTTGCTTTTGAATTGGACTAGTGTTTGACTACTGTTTGCTTGTTTGACAAAATAAATGAATGTTCTTCGTTAAAAGCTACTCCCAAGTCAGTCAAAAGACATATATAAATGGGATGGAGGGAGTATTGTTTACACTAATTTTCTTTAATTTTTTTTGCCTTTTTCAAAAAAAAATTGTACACATAATAACTTATTCGTGTAAAATTTTAACTTCGTATGCTTTAAATGTAATCGATTAACAACTTAAAAGAAATGAATAGTATTTCAATTTGTTTTATTAATTTATTTACAAAAATACGAGTCGTGTCATGGGCTCGTGGATGGCTTGGCACGGCTCAGCCCAATTGGCCCACAAGCCAAAGGGCCAAATCGAGCACAGTTTGTGGACACGAGCCGAAGTTGTGTGTCCCCTATTGTCAAGCGTTCCTCGCACATTCAACTTTAATCATGAATCTTTATTTAATTTTTAAACTTTGATCAGAAATTCAAAGTGACAAATAAATAAAACCAACAAAAATTGTCTCCTAATACAATAATTCCAAACATTAGGTAAAAGTAAATGAAACATGAGAAAAGGACATTAGGAATACATGACAGGTTCTTGTTCCTAATACATAAAGATAACGCTCAATAATGTCAACTATTTCTACAATGTCAAGGTCATGCCAATGCAATTTGCTCCTGCCGCCAGCATCTTACAAATATTCTAACATTTTAACAATTTTGTATTAGACCCCCTGTTGCATAAGATGATATTAAAACCATGGATCATTTTCATTAGGCCGCATGTTTGGATAAATTACATTTTTCTAAGTTCGAAAATTGCTTATTTGACAGTAAGAAATCTCCAAATATGACCAGCATAAACAAATATTTACTTTAGAACCGACTTATTGACTAAAAAGTAAATGTTTTAAGCTTAACCAAGCATTTACATTATTCCATACTGACAGTTCTGATCTCCCACTCTCTTTCCCCATTCCTCTCTGTGCTTCCATCAAGGCTCCTATCATGCATTTTCTACTTCCTACTGCTCTTCTCGTAATATCAATCTACCTTGTGAAAATCACACGCACCATCATTTATAATCCATGGAAAATTCAGAAACACTTTAGGAAACAAGGCATTATAGGTCCGTCT